ACGATTTTCCTGCCTCTCTTCCAATGTGGTTTGCAGGTAGATTGGAGTAGGCACGAAGAGCGAGCAGTTCAATGGCAGTGGCAAAATCTTGCAGGGATTCTGCAGGTTTCTGCGTCCTTGTTCTTAACTGGCAGTGGTACGTAGTTGCAAAGTGTTGGTCCCCAAAACGGTCCTCCAGAGCCTGAAGTGTTTCCTCATAAGTTGTATTTGTCGGAATGCCGGGTAGCACTTCTGCCGCCCGACCCTTCAAGGCAGTAATTAGGTATGTCGATTTTTCCCGGTCCGACCATTGGTTGTGCTCTGCCACGGTCTCGAATTGTCGCCTGAATACACTCCACGTTGAGTTCCCGTTGAATGTCGGTGGCTGAGCTGTGCTCGCGACGATTGTTGATGTAGGTCCCCGCTCGGCCTTCATTTGCACTACGTCCAACCGTGCCTGGACATCTCGTTTGGTCTCTTCAATTGCTGCACAGGTTTTCGTTAGTTCTTCCTGGATATTTCGTTTGTCGTGTACAACGATGGTCAAAATGCATTCAACTCTATGTTGGATTTCATCATCTAATTCTGTTCGCATAGATTGCATTGCGGCCTTCAATTCTTCCTTGTCGGCCTTCCTATCGGCCGCCGCCGTTTCTTGGTAGGCGTCTAATTTTGCCAGCATGATATTTGCTTTTTCTTGATTGGATTCTAATTTCGCCAGGAAATCCTCTTTGTCTGCATCTGCTTTTATTTGGTTGGCCTCCATTAAGGCCAGCAATTCTCTATGGCCGGTTTTCCTATCGGCCTCCATTCTGTCTTCCCTCCGCACTCGGTCGGCATCTGATTTTATTTGGCTTGCCCTCATCTCTTCTTGATGGGTTTTCATGCTGGCGTCCAATTTTGCCTCCATTTTTTCTTGGCTAGCTCTGATTTCCTTGAGAAGCATTTCCATCATTTGCTGCATCTCCATTGTGCGGTAGTAGAATTCGTTGAAGCGTGTTCAAGTTCGTAGCATAAATCTGACACCAAATTGTCACGTGTCGAATCTCGTTGATCACGTGTGTAAGCTCTAATCCCACTTCTGACACCAATGTAACGTGTTTACTTTACTGAAGACGCCGTAGAGATGGTTAATTGGTTTATTTAACAATCTTCAAGTAACGGCTACAATTAATGATAACAATGTTATGGGATTCCACACTTTACAAACCCCAGAACAAAATCTCTTAACACACTCTTCGAGAGTCTTCACGTACTAATAATGCGGGAGCTATACATGTCTCCCTGAATTACTCACTCCAAATACGACTGGTTATCACTGGTTATCGCACACACGGCTGTAGCTCGTAACTTGCGAACTGAGAACTCGTTGGTAACGCACTGACTGGCTGACTGTCACAGTACAACTGACTGTGAATAGCCTTCGCTGCTCCTGATGTAGCCTCGATCGGACAATACAGAATCCGGCCACGTAATATGCACCCTTGTTGCCTGACGCTGTGATGCTATGTAACGCTGTCCGGAAGTAACCGCCGTTACTACTTGGTGACGTCACCGCTGTTGACTTGCCTTGCCTAGCGACCAGGATCTAGGACTCGGCTAACATCGGCTCGCTTCGGCTTCGCTCGGAGCATCACGGCTGGCCGCGGGGGGGGGGGGGGGGGGGTCATTCAGAGGTCAACATGTCACAATATATTTTCTGGCCTCCCATTCATGTTCCACTGTAATATACATTATGCAATCCAAAAGGTTATAAAATATATTAATAAAAACTATTACGTCTTAACTGGATCTAATTCTGTACCATCACCTTCAAAGCAGTACACTTGGGAGGGCATACACAAATCAAAGCGTTTCTGCAACTCTTGAAATGCACCCTGGAAGTCTTTCTTTGTTAGGGTATATAGTACCGTTTCCAATTCCGTTTGAATTTCCTCAACTGTAACAAATCTTTGCCCCTTCAACTTGATTCTGATCTAGGGGCAGAGAAAGAAGACGAATGGAGCTAAGTCTTGCGTGTACAGTGGGTTGGGAACAATTACCAACATTTTTTAAGATCAAATTTCCTACACAATATAAGCCGTATGCAGTCATGCATAATCAGCGTGGAAACCCCAGTCATTCGTGCGCCACTTCTATGGACGTATGAGGCTGGCGGACACCGTCACCCTTAATTTCAACAATAAAATATCTACGGCTCTGCTGTTCTTGGACATCGAAAAAGTATTTAATAAAACGAGGCACTCAGGATTTCCGTATAAGTTGTCAAAGTTGGAATTCTCGAACAATTTCACGAAACTTAAGCCTAATTGGTCTTTTCTTTCAAAACGTAAAATCAGTGTCTCGGTTGAAGGCGAAATATCAAGGCCAAGTAAAAATTCAAGCAGATTTGTTAGCATGGATGTCCGTAAAGTTGCAGGCTTTAATTATCACCGACTGTTTACTGAGCCGTTGCTAAGCAGCGAATGGTTACTAGCTCCTGATTGCCTAGCTCTCGACCAACTGTCCAAGCAAAATTTGTAGTGGACTTCATTTCTCTTACATATGTACATGTTTCAGGAGTGTGTACTTATAGCCTTTAAATTTCAAACGTTTCCACAGAATTTGTACACTATTATGTGTGGCACTGTAGCATCGTCAGGCAACAAGTGTCCTTGAATTGTGTCGATTGTGATTGTAAGCTACTTGAACTTCATTCACTGAGCTTCAGTGTCTGGTCATCTGCTGTCATCTGCTTTTTCCTTTCCAGATATAATCAGTGTGATCAAACAATTTATACCACATGTAAATCAACAATTTTCTTGTGCAGTTCCCTTCCAAACACTACTAAAAAAACTACTTTTCTGGTGTAACCACAGACGTAGACATACATAAGGACAGCTTGTGTTTAGATTTCTCTGCATGAGTCACTGTTTTTACTACTGAGATTAGTGTTTCATGTAGAAAGAGTTGGAAATTCAAGTGGCACAATTTATAAGGCTTGATCACATAGCCACAGATGCATCTAGATTTCAAACCTTCGCTTTTCACTCCATGATCCTTGTTCCTGTAAAATGATCTACATTTAATTTCAGTTTTAATTTTCATATATATTTTTAGTATGTATGTCTCAGTCTAACAAAGGAAGGATCATAAATTTCTCTTTTCTGCTGCTATTGGTAGTGCTTTTCTATGTCCTCTCTCAAGATTTCCGTATTGTATTTACCACTGGTTAACGAGTATTTTATATAATTTTAAATATATATTCCTGAACATTGTTGTTTTAGGCAATGAACTGCGGGATCCCTCTCATACTAGCACGCAGCTTCGTCTGTCTAACAGACAGCATCCACCTTCTGCTCAAGCCAAGTTAACGTCACATTGCGGCCAGCACTCGATGTCCAGCCCGCCTATACATCATCACGTGCGCTAGCCAATCAGCGCTCACAATCGCAACTGCAACTTCAGCTGCACCCAACAAGCAATGATATTAAAGGCGGAGTTCAAAAATCGCTATCATCAGGTCTTCTTCGATAGGCCTCACTACAACATTGACAGTTAACGCATCTACTCTGACGTCAGTATACAGCAACTGCTCTCCAGCAACCGCATCGAGACGACGGCTCTGTTAACGCCCATATATACGCATCTGTCATAGTTTTACGTCGTTGTCTCTTAGAATATCGATATCCAACATTGGTGAAGNTGCCGCAGATAGTACTCAAGCAGCAGTAGCCCGAGTGGCCGTGCGGCTTCCGCTGTTCTGGCCCGAGCGCCCAGGCCACGGCGCAATTCATCTTGGCCGGTATTAGCAGCGAGCGCATCAAGTTCTGCCACGTGATCTCGCAGTTGGGCCACCGGTACCCCACAGAGGTGGAGGATTTTATCACGTCTCCGCCCGAACGAGACCCCTATACCATAGAGAGAACCGAGCTTGTGAGGCGGCTATCCCAATCGACAGAGCAGGGCATTCGGCAGCTTCGCACGGTCGAGGAGACTGGCGAACGTAAGTCGTCCCAGTTCTGGAGATACCTCAAGAATCTCGCACCGAACGTGTCTGATAAAATTATCCGAAGCGTCTGGACCAACCGCCTACCCCGCAACGTACAGAGCTTCCTCGCCGGCCAGAACGAGATCAACTTATAGGCCTCAGCCCTCTGTGCGGACCGCTTCTCCGCGGTCGAAACCCAACCGGCGCTCGCTAGCGTTAGTCAACCAACGGAGAACGCCGCACTTCGGCATGAGATTGCCGACCTCTCCCTCCAATTGGCTGCACTCAGCGCCGGACAGGACCGCCTCCACGGCCACTTCAAGGTGCTCGACCCCAAGTCGAGAGACCGAGGTCTCAATTCCAAGGTTTCCCGCCCCGCCTTCAGCAGCCTTCGTCAGTGCAGCAGATTCCCTTCACGTTGCGACATCATCCACCTGCTGGTACCAACGACGCCTCGGCTCTCGGGCCCAAAATTGTACTCCGCCCTGCTACTACCGCGAGTAGGGAAACTGAGGCATCATACATCAACGGTGGCACATATCTGCCCTAAGACGGCAGGCCGCATCTTCATAATGGACAAAGTCAGCTAACGGCAGTTCCTGTTCGACACGGGTTCGGACCTCTGCGTGTACCCCCGCAAGCACGTCCCTCGGCGCAAGGAACGTTCCAACTATGACCTGTGTGCGGCTACCGGCAGCACCATTCACACATAAGGACAGCTGCCTCAAAAGCCTCAAATTGGCCCTACGCCGACATATCTGTTGGCGGTTCGTGGTGGCCGACTCATGCATCGTATCATTGGCGTGGCCAGGCTGTGCGGCATCCAGCTTTCACGTATAACCGCCCACCAACCAGCAGCTAACGGACACGTGAAACGCTTCCGCCGGACACTGAAGGCCGCCATTATTTTCCACGCAGAACAACAGTGGACCGAGGTGGTTACCTGGTTTTCCACGGAATACGCACTGCATTCGAGGAGGACCTGCAAGCATCTGTAGCTGAGCTCCTGTACGGCGAGCTACTAACTCCAGCTACCGACCCCACGTTTCCAGCGCACCTCATCACGGAGGTCCGCCAGCACATGCCCCGCCACCGACCAGTCCCGGTCGCACGCCACGCCTCCCCATATTCTTTCGTTAACAGTGACCTCGAGAAGTGAACCCACGTCTTTCTTCGGCAAGGTTCAACACGCCGGACACCTTCCGTGTCATTCTGTTATGAATACAGAGACTGAAAATCGCGTGCCATTTCTGAGGAATCGCCAAAATTATATACTAATTGAGAAGAGGGAATAGTTATGTAAGGCAGGACTTGGTCATTCAGGAATTATATATAGATCTCTTCCCTCGGCTGAAACCAGTGAATAAAATGTGATGGAGTTAAATGATGATGTGGACTCCTCAAATTGTTGTGCCAGATCTCTTCCTTTCATAATTGAATTTTTTCCACTTTATGACTTCTTCATTTTATGTAGAAAGACAGCCGTCCCTTTGATGCTGTCCATA